CATTGGTCTGAACACAAGAGGTTTACAGCAGCTTCACTGCTCACACACACTCATACAAATAGTTCATAATCTGAGTTATGTGATTAGCGCAAATCAGTTCTGTAACCAGACAAACCAGCTGTGATCTGTCATGTTATGTTCACGCCAGATGGTATACAGTATGTCACGTATATTACATGCAATTTATAAATAGGTTTAATCAGATTACTATTTCATTATAAATCTTGTGTAATCATCACAATTACTTCCTTATAAGATTTTGCATTGCATTGCATCATTATATCCTGCTAAAATGCAATATACAGTGGGTACGGAAAGTATTCAGACCCCCTTAAATTTTTCACTCTTTGTTATATTGCAGCCATTTGCTAAAATCATTTAAGATATAAATATTTTTTTTATACCTTATCAGTTATAATCAGACATACTAAACCTGAAAATAGCATTGAAGCCAATGTTTATTTATTTAATTATGTATTTATTAGTAGAAAAGAGAAACAAAAAAATCACAAGTGGTTAAAATATTCAAATATTACATCATTAACAGCTTATTTAATACCATACGGTCACTGTAACAACACACAAATACATATAATGTAATCCATCACATTTTTGCACACTTTCACGTGCTCTATACACTATATAAATACTCCTTATGTAGTTATTAGAGTTGCAGTGCATGGAAGAACTTTGTACCATTGTGCATGAATGCCACAAAGCATAATGTAAACAATAATAAAGGACAAATGACCAAAGAGATTCACAGTTCTACATAAATACTTCCTGGAATTTGCTAGTGTGTATGTAAAAAAAACCTCTCACATACATACATATATACAGAATATACAGTTTAAAGATGCAAATAAATATGAATAATGATTATTTTGTGATGTATTGGTCAGATTATGTGATTGTTGCAAGTTTCACAATTACGAAGGCAGCAAAAAGACCCATTTTAATACAACGCAATTGAATACAGTAGTAATATTGTTTAAAAATCATACATATAGGCCCGGTTTCATAGACAGGGCTTAGCCTAAACCAGGATTAAGCCATAGTTCAATTAGGACATTTAAGTAATTTTTATAAACATGCCTTAGAAAAAAGCATTACTGGTGTTCATCTTAAGACAAAACAAAGGCACTGACATGTTTTAAGATCAGTCAGTGCAAGTTTCTTTCAGTTGAAACAGCTCAGATTTACATTTTAGTCTAGGACTAGGCTTAAGCCTCGTCTGTGAAACCGGGGGATAATATTTATTTTAATAGATTTTTCAATAATTAATTTTTTTACTGCTACCATGTTATTGTCGCAAGTTTACTATTACGAAAGCAGCAAAAATACCCGTTTAGAAATTAAACGAATACAGTGGAAATCCCAAATGACATCCCAAAACAATGCAGTGATGCATAACTGTACAGAATACAATAAACAATATGGGCCTGCCTGCTATAAATGGGGTTTACGGACCACCGACCTACTTTAAGACAATGAGAATCAGATTTATTCATCCTAAATCTACTATTTAATCTGTAATTATTTGCAGATTAATTCTAAGCAATATTAATAAAAAATGTGAAAATATGCATGCAAATCCAATTATGCTTAGAGAATAATATTTTTGAACAAGATCTATTCAGAAAGAACACAGTAAAAAAGTACACAATGACCAAAGCAACTGAAGACAGACAGAAAGAGAAAGAGGTGGCAAATGTATTTATACATACTGCTCTTTGGGGAAGGTGTATGAGGAGATGGGACCGGGGGGTGTGGGGTGTGTGAATATGGCTTTCTGGTTACCGTGCTGAGTGTAGGGGCTTTGGGGCAGGAAGGTCAGAGGAGGTTGAATGGGAGGAGAGTGTTGCTCCAGATAATCCTCTTTGTTACACGCCAAACGGTAACTCACGTAGTCTGCCGTGTTTGGGAGCTCATCGTAGAACCTCCCGGGGCTCTGTGGGAACAAAGATACAAGGTCAGATAGCAAGAACGAAGTAGGAGAGAATGAGCGCTGTGCATATTTAATGAGTGCGCTCCGGCACACGGCTGACACTGTCACCCTGATATTACGCATGCTGGTGCTGACACAATCAAGTTTGGACCTTTTTTCCAATTCAGAATACGTAAATGTTTCAAAAGTAGCAAAGTTCAAGGAAGTTATACGGAGTTATTGCTAAAACATACTCTGTGATAATTAACTATCAGGGAGAAAGTAACAGCGTGTTTGTTCTCTTCTCCAGTAGGAGGCGCTCTCTGCTCACTGTGTCTATGAGGCCAGAGGCAATTCAGGTTTATCATTAAAGCCTCAGTACCTCTATTCAGGTCGGTAGTCAGACCATGGTGCATTAGTGCATCTTTTCATCTGATAAAATGGCCAGAGCCCTCACTGGTGATTCTGTGGCTTAACTGAGTGCTCTCTTACCTGGAAGTCATCAGCTGCCTTCTTTTTAGACGAGGAAGGCTTTTTGTGGGCAGGAGAAGAACTATCTCTGCAACAATAGAGAGGGAGAGGGAGAGATAGAGGGTCTTCACTTCAACAATGCCATAAAAGAACTACAGGCTAGTTTCATTTTGTTTTTTGTCCCAGAAATGTTACTAAAACCACACCATATCATTGAAAAAATTAACCTATAAGGTTAGTTATAACTAATATAGATATATAATTTTAGCTTTGGCATAATTGTTTGTCCAATAATGTAAAAGACTACGATGAGAATGTTAAAAGTCATAAACAATATTACTTGGATATACATGTATTATAACATTATATTTAATATATTTTTAGAATATTTAATATATCTTCATATTATATTATTATATGTAGTTATTATTATATTTATTTATATGTGTATAATACTAATCATGTAAAACCATAATATATAATATATACAGGTGCATCTCAATAAATTAGAATGTCGTGGAAAAGTTCCTTTATTTCAGTAATTCAACTTAAATACACACACATATTAAATATTAGTTAAATAACACGTATTTATTAAAATAAATATAAAAATTAATATTTTAAAATATTATACAGTATATACACTATGTACTGTATATACACTATATATATATATACACTTACTTTTTTGTAATATTATAAATAATACATCTATTATGCATAGCACATACAAATAATATGTATTTATTACAATAAATAAATACAAAATATAAAAATGTATATTATTAAAATATTAAATGTTGATATATATATATATACACATACATACTTTTTATATTATAAAACATTATGTCATATATAAGCACATACGTATTTTTTAAATATTAGTTGAAATATATATTTTGACATTAATATGATTAATAATATGAAATAAAAATGAAATTCTAAAAATATTACATATAATGTTTTGTATAATTTAGTTAGGACAATAAGTGAGGTAAGAAAATATGCTTTGTAGACACTTTAGTCAATGAGGCCTCAATAATGAAATCTCAGAATTGTATAGATGTATCCTTGCAAATGTAACATTTTAATGAGTTGAATACTTACGAGTCTTTGTCTGACCCTGCATGTTTGTGCCGCTGCTGTTTGTTGACCAAATATATTGTGCCAGCTATACTGAGGATGATGCCCAGTGCAATCACCCATCCAAGGACACCCATCACCGTCTCTGCAGCGCTCAGTGGCTGGGGTTTCTCTGCAGGAAAAATATGTGTTGGGCATCTCCTTGCTAATTCTACCATATACACTATATAACACATCAAGTCATTGACTCAGTATTACTTATGTATTCAAACCTGACATGCCTCTGAAACATGTTTCCGCTCTAACATTAACGAGAATAGCTCTATTGTATGACCTATAGTCCTATTGTTTTGTGTTGATGAGAAAAAAAACCCACACATCCGGATCTCATGCCCTTCTTTTGTGCAAACTCCAACAACACCATACCAACAAATGGGGCTGCCATGGAAGGGATTCATGGGAGCTTTCCCTTAGGTCACTGTGTACATAAAACAACAATGATGTAAATGCCAGCTAGTGAAAAAGGGGATTTGTCGTGTGGTGCTCTAATGGCTGTAAAAGAGATGTTAATGGCATAATGTGTGCACTCGAAACAGACAATACCCAACCTCAAATAAGTGACTGACACCACAAAGAATGTCCTGATCAGATTGAATTGCTCTGCTTGGAAAAAATGTGCTTATTCATTTATTGATTCTGATATATTAGAAGCAAAACATTATTCATAATCAGACGAAAACACTACAGGTACATTTTTATCTTGACTATCTTAATTTATACATTTTTATTTATGTCAGCAGAGAATTCACAAGACTTATTAACACTTGTGATTTCACAATAAATACAAATTACAGGAGTACAGCAAAAACAAACACTATGTTGTTCTTGGCAGCATAATGAAGTTTAACTCATAAACGACACAAAAACACATCAAGAATTTCCTGAATGAATTACGCAATGTTAACAAATTTGTTACTGAACCAACAGGGCAATTTCTATCATTATTGTGAAAATTACCTCTTTGCTGATTTCTAAAAGAAATTTAGAAATGAAAAAAAAAAAAACACTCATAAATCTTTTCAATTAGCACAAAACACATTGTATTAGAAATTTTACAGCATATCATATGGAAGTACAGTACATTAGCTGAACACCACTTGCAAAAAAGACCAATGTAACATTCAACCAGTTTGTTCCTTGGTGTCATAAAAATGAAATAATTTAGCATTTCAAAGCATTTATATAGTACAATGTTTTTATAACATCTTAAATAACTTCAAATATCAAACAAGAACTCATATTGTAGATTGCAGCCACTGAGACATGCATTGAATCACTGACTCTTAAAAGCTACAGCCATATTTTAATTGTGTGATTGTTTATATACACATTTATATTCTTTATAGGTGGTATTTTACTACTGCAGTGCAGTTTTGTTGTACTGTATTATGGAACCTGTGATTACAGCAGCCAGAAAATTCACTATTCTGTTTCAATAAAAAAATAAAAAATAAATAAAAAAATCTGACAAAACAAGGCAAAGTTTACATGAATCATGCACAAAATTATATACACAGTGTAAGATGTTCCCAATTATACGTTATAGTGAAGTTTCAACTGCTCTTAAGTAAACACTATCCCGAGGCGAAAATTCTTTCTCAATACAACGGCACTGTCAAGACATGTATTCTCTTCCAAACAAATGCCTAGTTTATGTTAGAGATAACTCTGTTGCAAAACCTAGTGAGTCAGCATCCTAAACGTAATGGAAAATAACTGATTTAGGACGCCATCATAGAAACTCTGTGTCCCACGTAAACTGTGCTCTGTACTAAGGAACGCAAATCACAATCGATCTTAACAGAAGTTAGCATGTTGCTAGGCGAACAGCACAAACACTCCACACAGAACACAACACACAACTGATTTCAATACAGTTTGAAGTTAGCATGTTGCTAAGCTAATAACACTGTAACAAAACTTTTGTGATTAAACATCCTAAACAACATTGAAAGTGACCAATTTGCGATGCCAACATAGGAAGGAACTCTAAAAACTCTCTAAAGTGGTTTTTATTGTAGTAATAGTGTAGTAACCATGTGTTTTTTTTTGTTTTTTGGTGTATTGATTACTACTTGTATAACCACAGTTTTAGCCTACTACAAATACCATGGTTAAACTATGGTTAGTATAGTAAAACCATGGTTAATTTTCGTAAGAGGTAAGGAAGAACACAAATCACTATCAATTTCAATAGAGTTTGAAGTTAGCCTGATGCTAAGCTTACAGCACAATACACATATACATACGCAAATATTTGGTAAAATAATTAATTACATTTAAATATGTATATCACTATTTTTAAATATAAGAAATATAACTTAGAATTGCATTATAAAACTCATATTCATCTCATTCTATGTGAGAGATTGTAATGCTGATTTAGAATTTGGCTAAAATGAGGGATTTCAAGAGGCAGCATAATTATGCAAATATCAGCAGGTTATACCTACAATCACTGGTCCATCTCCAAACATCTATCATCCGTTTGGATTTTCATGTCAACAATGTCCTCTGGTGAATCGAATCCATTGTCAGTTTGGATCCCAAAGCCTGCTTCAAAAGGAAGGAGATGACAATGAATGAGAAGATGCTGAGAGGCCCATGCGGAGAAGCTCAAAGTCTTGAGTCCTACACATACCACTCTTCTTTCGAGATGACAGAGCCGTCCATCTGAGGAATCATGTCCACTGAGACCTCCACCTCAGATCCGTAATCATAAATGTAAGTCTGTTCACTATGTCCGCATCTCTCATGGTCCTCGATCAGTCCCATGTGGTAGGCCTTGATCCTGCTGTCATTGCAGTTGTGGAACTCCTGAACACTTCTTCCTAAGATACTGGAGCCTCTGTAAAGTTCCAGCTTCTTCTCTTCATCTGAGTCTTCGGAGAAGGTCAGACTGTGAGGTAATGAGGGGTGTGACGGCACGCTGCCAGCCTTGCTGTAACCACTTCCAAGGATTTGCTTCTTGGTACTGTAATCTCCTTTAAACATGCATCTCCGGTGATATAAAAACACTACCAGGAGCGTAATGGCGGCCAACAGCACTGTGCCACAAACAACAGCTCCACCAATGATGGCAAAAGCTTGCTGTGGCTCCTGAAACACCTCGTGTGGATAGCTAGGGAATTCTGGGTAAGGAAAGAGATCACCTCAATTACCAAATGGAGAATGGAGTTGTTAAAGACCTTGTGCGCAGTTTTCTTTCCTGTGTTGGCACATTTCCTTTTGAAACCGGAAGTGGGGTCATACCAAAGGGCTTGTATCTTTACATTAAACAAGTCATAGGCTGTTAGACAACCATTCAAAAGTTTGGGGATGGAAAGATTTTTTATTATTTTGGAAAAAAAATCTCTTGTGCTCACCAAGGCTGCATTTATTTGATAAAAAATACAGTAAAAAATCTAATTTATTCTTTTGATGACAAAGGTGAATTTTCAGCAGCCATTACTCCAGTCTTCAGTATCACATGATCCTTCAGAAATCTTTCTGATATGCTGATTTGGTACTTAAGAAACAATTCTTGAAATGTTGAAAATGGTTGTGTTGCTTAATATTTTTGACAATTAGTGACACTTTTTTTTCAGTGGAAAGCATTATTTGAAATAGAAATCGTTTGCAACATTATATAAATCTTTACTGTAAGTTGTGATCAATTTAATCTCGATGAATAAAAGTATTAATTTCTTTTAAACAAAACAAAACAAAAACTCACAGAGCCCAAACCTTTGAATGGCAAATGTACTAAAAGCTAAAAAAATTTAATAAACTTTTTGGAATACACTAGCATAAGGGACAATGACTAAAAGCCACAGAGCATTTAGTCATTGTCAGATAATTTTGATTTCACAAGGTCTTTAAAAAAGCAACATGGGTAGAAAGAGGAAGTTTCTTTGTTTTCTTTGTTCATTTCTTTGTATTTCTTCCCCATGGAATTAAATCCCAGGTGCCATCACTATGCTATAGAGACTGAACCATACAGCAGGCCAGAACCACACACACATGTACACACAAGTAAATGTAAGCATGCAGTTTCTATAGACCACACCTTATGCTCGCAGCATGCAAAGAGAAAAATATGACTCAAGAGATCCTCATAGACAAAGGTTCATTCAGGAGCCACATGCAGAGAACTTGCAGCCACATGCAAAGTGCTGCGCCAGCAAGCAAGTTAATCAAAGCAAAACACCTGAGGGCTGAAGAAAAAAAATACAGGCAGGAGACAAGCATCCACATTTCAGGCAGTGAGCGTCTACATTGTTTATTGGCAAAACGATGGCATGATCATGGCTATTAGGTGATGTTTCAGAGGCAGTCGAGAGTAAGTTTAGGGCAAAAGACTAAAAAATTCACATGCATATCCACATGCACAGAAGCAGTTAAGCCACATGCTTTCACAGTCGAGTAGGAAGTATAAACAACACACCTGTGACGATGACTTCAACGGACGCAGAGCCTGTCCCAATGCTGTTGCTGGCGTCACAGATGTATGTGCCTGCGATGTCATAGGTTACAGGACCTTTAAAGATCAGCACATCGTCACGAAGCTCTGCTGTACTCGGCATAGTTCCATTCAAACTAGAGAGAGAAAGGCTCATCAGGTCATGCACGAGAATTTACTTAAAGGAGACATATTATGCCCCTTTTTACAATATGTAATATAAGTCTCTGGTGTCCCCAGAATGTGTCTGTGAAGTTTCAGCTCAAAGTACTCCTAAGATCATTTATTATATCATTTTGAAAATGCCTATTTTGAGTGGAAGCAGAAACAAGCTGTTTTTCGGGCCTGTCTCTTTACATGCAAATGAGCTGCTGCTCCCCGCCCCCTTTTCCATCCAGAATAGAGCTGCGCTATTAATCAGAACCAAAACTGCGCCATCTGTTTTGGTTCTGATTATCATGTTTATCGCGCTGAAATTATGCGTTTTAAACCATACTAGTTTAAACTTCTAATATACCTTTTCTGAGTGCACACATCCGAAGCACACGGACAGAAAGCGGTTGTCACAGCATGCTACCCCAGATAGTCACGCAGTGTGAAAACAACGGCGATCCGACGAGTTTGAAAATCGTGCAGTGTGAACTCGTTATTACAGATTAAGGGGCGGTAATATTATAATCGGATTCCTTTGCCACATCACAAGGGGAGCGAAATCTGACGCGCTCGTTTTCTTAGACGCTTGTAGAAAAAGGCTTACCAAAAGAAAACATTAATTTCTGTGGCAATCAACACTTCTTTGGCATTGATATAATATATAATATTCAGTAGTTTAGGCTATGGTATATTTTGAGATCATCATCCATTTCAAAGTATTTTAACTGAGCATAAATAAATTTGTGCAGAATTGACTAAAATGACATACTATCTCCACTGAAACAATGAGATGGGTGGATTGGCATCAGCCAAGCAGGTGAGCTGAACGTTTTCTCTGTTCAAATACCAGTTCCCATCGAAGCCTTCTATTATTACCTCTGGTTCATCTGTAAACAAGGAGAAAAGAGAGCACAAATTTATTCCATAACTTTAAATTTCTTAATTTCCTTCAATGGACATTTCATAAAATTGACTTTAACAATAATGAATATTTAGAATAAAATTATTTTAATACATAATCCATGAGGATATATTTTAAAATACATTTTAAACTAAAAGTTAAACTACAATTACTATTAAGCTAAAATGAAAAAAAAAACATTATAGCATAAGTACTGTTTAAGTACTACTATTGAAATTAAATAATGCAATAAATTAAATAATTAAAAAATAAAATAAAATTTAAAGTGACTTGTAATAAATAAAAAATATGCTGGATCAAAAGTGTGGGGTTAGTAAGATTTCTAAATGTTTTGAAAGAAGTCTCTTATTATTACAATTTAAAGTAACTGTTTTCTATTTAAATACATTTTAAAATGTAATTGATTCCTGTGATGACAAAGCTGAATTTTCAGCAGCCACTTCAGTCTACAGTGTCACATGATCCTTCAGAAATAATTCTAATGCTGATTTGATGCTCAAGAAAAAAATCTTATTATTATCAATGCTGAAATCAGTTGTGCTGCTTAAAGGGGTCATATGATGCGATTTCAATTTTTCCTTTCTCTTTGGAGTGTTACAAGCTCTTGGTGCATAAAGAAGATCTGTAAAGTTACAAAGACTAAAGTCTCAAATCCAAAGAGATATTCTTTATAAAAGTTAAGAGTCACCCACGCCTACCTAAAACGGCTCGTTCTAACACACCCCACATGTCTACGTCACGATGTGAGAAGATTTGCATAACGCCGCCCAAAGGAATGTTCTTTTTAGCAACATCATATGACCCCTTTAATCCGAACAATCTAAATGTCTTTTCTGTCACTTTTGATTAATTTAATGCATCCCTGCTGAATAAGTATTATTTTTTAATCCCCAAACTTTTGAACAGTAGTATAGCTGGTTTCTTACATTGAATGTTGAGCGTTACACTGTCTGTGTATTGTTCGTCATTATATGTGGAGACGCAGGTGAGCAGTTGTAGGTGTATTTCTCGACTGGGAACCACCAAGTAATCACTGCGCACTGTGACGGTCCCATCAGGGTTGCGTATCTCCTGGGTGTTGGATTCTCCATCTAAATCAGTTTCCCATGTGATCACACTGGGTGGCTTCCCATTGGCAGAAACACATGTGGCAACAGTCATCTTCAGATCTTTGGTTCCCGCCACTATGGAGGGTGTGGAAAGACTCATCTGGATCATAGGGCGAGCTGCAGGACAAATACATAGGCTTAGAACACCGGGATATTTCATGCACTGCAGACAACCACCGGATTACTGTCATATTCTGTGCCACGCTATGTTTTGCAAGCTTTTCAGCTTATTGGTGTTTTTTTCATTAAGAACTGCAAAGCGCTGTATAATAACCAGTTTTCATGGAAAACATTTTGAAAAGACAAAGGCCTCTCAACTTGGAAAATTATGCAATATACACAGAAATTCTTCTTCTGTGAAATCAAAAGTTTTACTAATTTTATAACCAAAAAATAAATCTCAGTTTATGTGATGTTAGCGCTATAAAAAATTTAGCAAAATCCACTACAGCACAATCTTGGCTCCAAAGGCCCGTTTCACACCACAGCGGCTAACCATAAGCACTCAAAGTTACAGTAAATGCTTTTACGCTACTCAGGTACTGAGAGTAATCTGATGATGGTGAGTTTTCAATTAATCACTAAAGCTTAATCACCAAGGCTTTACTGGTTTTATGCAAGTAAGATATCTCTTAAACTGTCCAAATCTGAATCTTGTAAGGACCTTGAACTTACTCAATGTTAAAGGAATAGTTTACCCAGAAATGAAAATTGGCTGACATTTTGCTCACCCTCAGGCCGTCCAAGATGTAAATAAGTTTGTTTCTTCATCAGAACAGATTTGGAAAAATTAGAGCTTTATATCCTGCTCACCAATGGATCCTTTGCAGTGAATGGGTGCCGTCAGAATGAGAGTCCAATCAGCTGATAAAAACATCACAATAATCCACAAGTAATTCACACATCTCCAATTGTTAATTGATTGAATGTGGATTACTTGTGGATTATTGTGATGCTTTATCAACTGTTGGCACCATTCCCTTTTCGTCTGTTCCAATGAAGAAACAAACATCCTGGATGACCTGAGGATGAGTACATTTTCAGCACATTTTCATTTTTGGGTGAACTATACCTTTAAATGTTTACTCGCCCACTGAAATTAAAGTTATTCACCTCTTAAATCTCATCTGAAGTCATATTTTTAAATGCATTGTTCGCAGGGGTGTGAAGTAACGAATTACAAATACTCACGTTACAGTAATTAAGTAGTTTTTATCAGTAAAACTGAGAATAACTTTAATCTTTTTTTGAACTGAATACTGTTTCCGTGCTGTTTTGATGTATTTTAAAGAGTTGGCAGTCAAAATTATCGTGGTATTGGTGGTCAGCTTTACAGTTGGTATTAGGAGAACAGCAGCATTACATACCATAAACAGTGAGATTAACCATGTTCTCCCTGTTGCCAGCTGGGAAGGTTGTGTACTCGCAGATGTAGGTGGATTCATCCAACAGTTTTAGTTTGTTGAACACTATGGTGGTGTCCTCCAGGGAAGGTGTGCGCTGGCGGACGGCGGGGTTCTTGAAGCGCACACGCTCTTTGAAGGGGCTCAGTACTGACACCCCCAGGGCTGGATTGGCGATGGCCACGTTCTGCTTAGTGCCATTGACAAGCTTCTGCCAGGTGACCTGCGAGATTTTTACAGGTGGGTTGCTGTTGACAAACTGACAGCGTAGCTCTACCTGTGAGCCCACAAATCCTGACTTACTGCTGTCCATCTGGACCATCTGACCATGAACACCTGGAAATAAAAAGATTAACAGTTATTTCTCACAATGTGGATGAACTGTAAAGATGTCTAGTGTCAAACCAAAAACAAACAACAGAACAATTTTTTTTTCATATTTGGTAACACTTCACTTAAAGCCTTTGTGTATAATGCAATATAAAGGGTTATTAGAGACTATAATGCATTATAATTATTCATAATGTGCATTGTAATACATGATATCTTGTTGTAAATAATTATAACTGAATTTAAAATGCATAGTGTAACAATGAATTGGTAAGTGTTATAATGTATTAATTGTGGTTACAATTATTCATTAGATTGTACAATGCATTATAAGTGCATTACAAGGCATAATTATTGCATTAAAACTACTTTTATTATAAAGGCTTTAAGTAAAGTGTTACATCATATTTTTATGAAAACAAACATTTACTGGCTATTTAGAATTTAATTTAAATTCCCATTCAATTCCTGAAATGGATTTGAAATGAGGTAGGACCTCAACCAGGAGGATTTGATTTGAATTGACAATTAAAAGAAGTTTAAGAATGGGATGATCAAAAGTGACAGCAAAAACTGTTACAATGTAAAGAAATATATATATATCTCAAATAAATGCCATTCTTTTGTACTTTTTTATTTATTCAGAATCCAAAAATGTGTCACAGTTTCCTGAAAAAGATTAAGGAGCACTGTTTTCGTCACAGCAATTTTTAAATTAAGCAAAATTGTTTAACATAATTTCATGCAATAATAATAATAAAAAATTTTTTTAGCACCAAATCAGCATTTCTAAAGGATCATGTGACAATGAAGACTGTAGCAATGACTGCTGAAAATTTTGCTTTGCCACCACAAAAATAAAATATATTAAAATTACAAACAGTTGTTTTAAATTGTAATAATATGTCACAATGTTACTGTTTTTACAGGGTTTAAGAACCACGGCTACAATAAGATACAGAGAGGTACTTCACCCGCCCTGGCTAAAGTGTGTCTGTAAACACACACAGACTGTGTTTACCTGCGGGTAGGGATGTAACGATTCACTCAACTCGCGATTCGATTCGATTCACGATTTTGATTTCACAATTCGATTCGATTCACGATTTTTTATTATTATTTATTTTTTTTTACAAAATGAAATGTAAGACAAATTATAAATTAAATGTGTCCTTTTATTATTGCTTGGACAAAATGCTGCACATTTCTTTGTGAAATTGAAATATAACACTATAATAATATACTAATATAGCACTTGCATATTGTTGCTCTTTTGTTGGTTTTGATTGCTTCTATTGTCCTCATTTGTAAATCGCTTTGGACAAAAGCGTCTGCTAAATGACAAAAATGAAATATAATGCAAATGTAAATAACAAAACTACATTGAAATTTAAAAACAAGCCCCAAATCAAATAAATAAGTAACACAAATAAAATAAATCTCTTCATATAAATAAAGACTTGTCCGTGCGCTTTCCTTTTAAAATTAGAGGCAACCGCTGCATTTTAATCTTGATCCAAACAAAGATGCTGCATACAGGCAACATGAGCAGTTTTTAATCTAAATAAGATTGTATAATTCCGAAATTTGAAGCAAAAACAGAATTGTTTGACTTCAGTTTTGTGAAACTATAAATAAAAATATCTGCATGAAACAGCAAAGCTGAATGAGATGCAGATTCACTCTCTGACAGCAGGTGGCGCTTAAACCGTTTCCTGGTTTCCGCTGTAAACAAAGCAGCGCTGAACTTATGAACTTTAATATGCATTATACAGAGGCAAGAGGAAAAGAAAAAATACCATC